GGACTCCTGGACTATGAAGATACAAGATTGAAGACTTCGTCCCGTGTCCGGATGGGACTTTCCTTGGCGTGGAAGGCAAGCTTGGCGATGCGGATATTCAAGATCTCCTACCATTGTAACCGACTTTATGTAACCCTAACCCTATCCGGTGTATATATAAACCGGAGGGTTGTAGTCCGTAGGCAATCAACTCCATACACAACAATCATACCATAGGCTAGCTTCTAGGGTTTAGCCTCCTTGATCTTGTGGTAGATCTACTCTTGTACTACCCATATCATCAATATTAATCAAGCAGGAGTAGGGTATTACCTCCATCGAGAGGGCCCGAACCTGGGTAAAACAAAGTGTTCCCTGCCTCCTGTTACCATCCGGCCTAGATGCACAGTTCGGGACCCCCTACCCGAGATCCGCCGGTTTTGACACTGACACGTACCCTACCATAAGCTCTTCATTTGTTCTCCGCTATTAGTGACTTTGGAGTGACTCTTTGTTGCATGTTGAGGGATAGTTATATGATCCAATTATGTTATTATTGTTGAGGGAACTTGCACTAGCAAAAGTATGAACCCTAGGCCTTGTTTCAACGCATTTCAGTACTGTTTATGCTCACTTTTATCATTAGTTACCTTGTTGTTTTTATATTTTCAGATTACAAATACCTTTATCTACTATCCATATACCACTTGTATCACCATCTCTTCGCCGAACTAGTGCACCTATACAATTTACCATTGTATTGGGTGTGTTGGGGACACAAGAGACTCTTTGTTATTTGGTTGCAGGGTTGCTTGAGAGAGACCATCTTCATCCTACGCCTCCTACGGATCGATAAACCTTAGGTCATCCACTTGAGGTAAATTTGCTACTGTGCTACAAACCTATGCACTTGGAGGCCCAACAACATCTACAAGAAGAAGGTTGTGTAGTAGACATCAAGCTCTTTTCTGGCGCCGTTGCCGGGGAGGTGAGTGCTTGAAGGTATATCTTTAGATCTTGCAATCGAGTCTTTTAGTTTCTTGTTTTATCACTAGTTTAGTTTATAAAAGAAAATTACAAAAAAATGGAATTGAGTTTGCCTCATACGCTTCATCTTTTTAATATCTTTCATGAGTATGATGGAAAGGAAAATTGTGCTCAAGTGCTGGAGGAAGAATGCATTAGAATGTTTGGCACTAAATCTTTGAATGATGAGCATGATTGCAATGTTGTTAGTATGAATTCCTTGAATATCCATGATGCTAATGATATGCAAAGCCACAAGCTTGGGGAGGCTATGTTTGATGAAGATAATATTTTTTGTCCCCCAAGCTTTGATGAGCAAATTTATTATGATGAAAGAATGCCTCCTATTTATGATGATTATATTGATGAAATTGGATTTGGAGAGGTCATGACTTTATTTAGTAATGATTCCACTATTTCGGAAGAGGTTCCAATTGATTATGAGAACAAAGTTGCTATCTATGATGATCATTGTGATGACTTGTATGCTATTAAAAATAATGATAACCATGAAACTTGTCATCATGATTTTAGTTTTCAATTGGATTATGCCTCACATGATAATTATTTTGTTGAGTTTGCTCCCACTATTATTCATGAGAAGAATTTTGCTTGTGTGGGGAGTAATAAAATTTCTATGCTTGTAGATCATGATAAGAATGCTCTATGTGCTGGTTATATTGTTGAATTCATTCATGATGCTACTGAAAATTATTATGAGGGAGGAATATATGCTTGTAGGCATCGCAATAATATCAAGTTTCCTCTCTATGTGCTTAAAATTTTGAAGTTATGCTTGTTTTACCTTCCTATGCAAGTTGATTCTTGTTCCCACAAGTTGTTTGCTCGTAAAATCCCTATGCATAGGAAGTGGGTTAGACTTAAATGTGTTAGTCATATTCTTCATGATGCTCTCTTTATGTTTCAATTCTTATCTTTTATGTGAGCATCATTGACATCATCATGCCTAGCTAGGGGCGTTAAACGATAGCGCTTGTTGGGAGGCAACCCAACTTTATTTTTGTTCCTTGTTTTTTGTTCCTGTTTAGTAATAAATAATTCATCTAGCCTCTGTTTAGATGTGGTTTTATGCTTTTAATTAGTGTTTGTGCCAAGTAGAACCGTTGGGAAGACTTGGGGAAAGTCTTGTTGATCATGCTGTAAAAAACAGAAACTTTAGCGCTCACGAGAATTCCTGCCATTTTTATTTGGAGAGTGATATTTAGTTAATTATTTTTGCAGATTATTAATAGATAAATTCCTCAGGTCCAGAAATTTATTTTACAATTTTTGGGGTTCCATAAGTATACATTTGATCCAGATCACTACAGACTATTCTGTTCTTGACAGATTCTGTTTACGATGTGTTGTTTGCTTATGAGAGAAGTGCATATATCAACCTTCAACTCTTTGGTCGGTCTAATATACACCCCTCATCTATTATACCGTCTAAGTTGCACCCTCCAACTATCAAAACCAGACGAATTACCCCCCTATCTGGCCTTGACCCTGGTTATGGTCCAGTCAGCACATGTTGACCAGGTCAACTCGTCCAGTCAGCATGCCATGTCAACAATGAAATGAATATATAATGCATAAATCAATAATTTGAAAAATATCTAATCTGCTGGTCAAAATTTGGCAGCATTTTGGTGCCATTTGGTACCATTTGAGCATCATATGAACAAATAAAAAGGCTTGAACATAACTGGTCACATATACATATATATAGGTCTGAAACACACATACATAGGTCTCACATACATATAGATAGGTCTGATACACACAAAGGTCTCACAAATAGGTCTGACACATATGTCTCACATAGATAGGTCTGATTGACACCCAAACCTCACAAGCACACAAATAACTCTCAATTTCAAATCCCAGCAAGCTTCGAAACCGAGCATATTTGGCCTTGCCAGTCCCCTTGCCTTTGTTACTGCCATTGCTACTGCTCCTCTCTTTGGTAACTTTGCTGCTAGTTGTCGCGCGAGAAGTACCAGTGCAAACATTGACATTCACATTCGAGCTTCCATGTACATTGAAGGTATTTCTAGAGAAATTATTTGACCTACTGTTGTTATTAGTTGGCGCCCTTCTCTTTGCTTGTCTTGGTGGTGCCATCTCCACGGTGGCCCTTCTTTTGTGTGAAGTGCTTTGTTGTGAACTCTGTAATAGAACAATTAGATGTACTACATTATATCAGAAGTGGTACAAAAAAGAAAGTACGGCGGAAAAATATGGTGAACGAGCTTACCAGAACAGGTGCTTCACTTGGTGGACGAGCACTTCCCCTAGGAGCACTAGGCGTAGCAGAAAGTGGAGCAGTACCACTAGGAGCAGAAGCAGATGGAGCACTAGCACTAGGCACTCCATTTCTTTGTTTACAAGTTGTTTTGTTGTGTCCACTTTGCTTGCACAAGCTACACTTGATCACTGTGCCAACCTTGCTAACTTTGCTAGTCTTTGGTTTTTCTTCCTCTTCTCTTGTTCTACACTTCTTTTTCCTACCAGGCATATTGATGTACCCAGGTGCTTTTGGTTTTGGTCTCTGAGACACAGGTCATGCAGCTCTTCCCTCAAGAGGTTGAAGACAATAAGCATAAGTTTTTTTTGAAATTATCCACTCTGTAGCAATCAGCAATGTAATCATCCAATTTGTTTGTAGTGCAGTGTATGCAGCTGATGGCATGAGAGCAAGGAAGGCCTGACAACTGCCAATACCTACAACTACATGTCCTGTCATGCAATCTGACAGTGTACCTATGTACTCTTGTCTTCACTTCATATGCATCATTGCCATTAAAAATGCATGACAATAAGCAGAATAATCTATGCTTTTCTGTAGCTTCTTCAGTACTTTCGGACAGATGATGCCAGTCCAACTTTCCATTTCACTTCTCATTTCTTGTATCCTGATCATAATTTGTTGCCTAATTGTTATCACAGGATATAATCTAGCCTCAACTATCCATTTGTTAAAAGTTTCAGAAATGTTGTTGTCCACGGAATCACAACAACTTCCTAACCTGAACCAAGCCATGCTCCAGTGTTGTGGGTCTGTGTTCATAACATCCCTTGCTCCATCAGGTGTGCATTGTGCTAACTTGGCCCTTGCAAGATTGAACAACATTGTGCAAGGTGCTTTTGCACAAGCCCAGAATAGCTTTTGCCAGTCCTTTTCCATATATTTTTTCCTCCAGTTAGCATATATGTGCCTAGCACAATTCCTATGCTCTGCCATTGGAGCCCAGTGGTGAACAACATTCAATATTCCTTTTTGCTGATCAGAAATTGTAACCCAGCCATCACCATCTCCAACTTTCAGATCATTAAACAACAAGCTACAAAACCAGTCCCAAGATTCATTGGTCTCCTTATCCACAAGTGCCCATGCTATTGGATACATCTGATGATTTGCATCTCTACCAACGGCACTTAATATCTCTCCTGCTCTCCCTTTCAAAAAGCATCCATCTAAGGATATAACTTTCCTACACCCAGCTAAGAAGCCCTTCTTACAAGCATCAAAGCACACATAAAAGTGGTGGAATGTTGGTTCTTCAAAATCTGGGTGAAGCTTGATCACACAAGTAGTCCCAGGGTTGCTTCTAAGTAACTCAAGTTGGTAATCAAACACTTGGTTGTACTCTCCCTCTTTAGCCGCAAGCATTTTTCCAATGACAAGTGCTTTTGCTCTCTTGATTTTGGATATTGACACATTTGCAAACATTTTTTTCCTGTACGATTGACTTTAATTGCTGGATTGACCATTCTGGACTTGACATTATCAAACTCTCAAACTTTTCTGCAATCCTTCTACTTGTAACTAGTGCACTATCTTTCCTTTTTGGACAAGTGTGTTCCTTCGTAAATGAAGTAATCTGCCAACTTTCAAACTTTGATGTTTTCCTCAACAAACACACCCAAGGACAATGAGGCCATGTGCACTTTGCCCTTACTCTGACTCCCTCATCTTTTAAGAACTTGATTTATTTTCTTTCCTTCAGTGCATAACGAATGATTGCATCTTTGAACTCCTTCTTCCCACTAAATGTCATACCCAAGGTGAACTTGATCACTTCTGCTTTCTTATTAAACCTAGCATATTCAGACTCACGCTTGATAAGTTCACCATCACTATCCTCGTCATAAGATTCATCCTCTTCGGCACTTGATTCATCTTCATAATTGCCTTCAGGTTTAACTACATTCAATGCTTCAAACTCATACTCAAGTGCAAGTTTTTCAGCTGCCATCTTCTTGCTCCTTTTGAATTTCTTGTAATCTTGCTTAATAGCATCTGCCTCATCATCATCCGATGAAAAATCTGGTGGCACAAAGTCACTATCATCGGAGCTGCTTTCTACATCAATTAGCTTTTCCTTTGCGGACTTCTTCTCATCAGCAGTAGCTACATAATCGTCTTCAGCCCAATCTTCTTCCTCACTAACTTCTTCATCTTGCACGGCCGGATCCTCCACATACACATCAGCCACACCTGCATCTGTTGTACATGCTGACAGTGTTTCAACAGACTTGTCCTCAGACAACATCAACAATCCATCAAATAAATCCTTCCCAGGGAAGAGCCAGTGCAATTGTTGTCCGTCCACTGTGACATAATGCTCACTCAAACACTGTTGAATTCTCTGTAAGCTCAAGGTTGCTCGATCTAAAAAGGACATTGCTTCTTTGCCCCCCACATACTGTATTGTCTTCCCGTCATTGATAAATTCCCCATTGAAATGAAAACGGACAACAATACAATCTGCTGGATCCATAACATATGATTACAAAAAAATAAATGAGATAAAATCACTTTGTTGCAGAGGACCCAAATCATCCCTAAGTGAGCCTTATGAACTATTCTGTGAAAGACGGAGAAGATGGCAGAAGTGGGCGGGGGAATATTGCTCACCTAATTCTTCGCGTCCTCAACCTCGCGTCCGAGCGCTGGAAGAACTTGGCAAGCTATGGCGGCGACGATACTTCACCGTCGAGATCAGCCTAGGGGCTGCGGGCTCTACTTGGAGTTGGGGTAGGAGCTCTGCCCGTGGAGGGGATAACTGGAGGAGGCGGCGACAACTTCAGATCGGCCGGTGGCGGGAGCAACTCAGGCGGTGGTGAGGAGAGACCGGGGCGGTGGCGCTGGTCTCCTCGGGAGAGATCGGGGCGGCGGCGCTGGTCTCCTCGGGAGAGATCGGGGCGGCGGC